GCCGCAGCGCAGGAGCAACCGCAGGAGCAGCAGCAGAAGCGCGACAGGAGCGGCGGCGGCCCGGCCCCAGCGGCCCGACGCAGCCCCCATTGCGCGGTGCGCGGTTGCGCGGTGCTGCCCGGTCTCCCGCGCCGCGCCGGCTCTGCGAATTATAAAAACCCGGCGGGCCGCCGGCTTCCGACACACCCCCACCTCCCCACCCCGCCGCGCTTCCTCCTCGGCTCCCAGCGCCGGCCGCGCGGGCCTAACGGAGCGGGGCGGGGACCGGCGCTTCTGGGCCCGCCCGGGCAGGGGCGCCGGCCGGGGAGGGGCCCTGGCGGCCCAGCCCGCGGGTGCGGATGGGGCTTAGGTCAGACTCTGGCCGAGGAAGCTCGCCAGGCCCCGCTGCCCCCAACACGCACACCTCTGAAGAGGAGGGACCCAACAGTTTGCTGGGACACCCCAGCCTGCCCAGCGGGCTCCCTCCTCCTGCCCATCACACAGACTCACCGCTTCAGTGCGGGTCCCGGGCCCCGCGGTCTCTGCCGCTCAGCCTCCCGGCCTAACAGCCCAGGCCTCCCGGACTCCAGTGACACACAAGGTGTGCGCAGCGGGGACAGGTTAATGAGCAGGCACCCGCTGCCTCCTTCAGGAGGCCGTGTGTGTGTGTGTGTGTGTGTGTGTGTGTGTGTGTGTGTGTGTGTGGTCCATGTGGGTGGGGGGAGAGTTTAGGCTTTGGCGGGCACCTGGGGTGCTGCAAAGATGGTCAGACCCCGCCCCCCTCCCCTGCCCCCTCCCGCCCCAACACACACACACCTGGGGACTGGGTGGGGGGCTGGTGGGAAAGGGGGGGGAGAATGGGGGCTGTCCTGGGAGGAGGGCAGAGAGGCACAGGGGTGCTGGCACACCTGCCTCTTCCTATTGGGGACACAGCTGCCGGTGGCTCCTGCAGAAGCAACCCCCCAGAGTGGCAGCCTTTGACAGCTACAAAGAGGAGCCTAGCGAGAGAACAGCCCTTGGCTTGACAGATGAAAAAACCAAGTCACCTCGTTACCACACTCCACATCAGTCTTTCCCTGTCTCATCCACGTGTCCCTTAAAGTGACAAGCATTGGGGAAGGGAGGAGAGTGGCATCCTTTTGAGGTGGTAGTGGAGGCTGGGGGGCCTCCCCTAACTCCTTAGCACCATGGTGTCTGTCCCCAGACGTCAGAGGACCCTACACCCCAGCAGACCCCCCAAGGATGTGGAGGGTTCTGTGAAAGAAGTAGAGGCTGGGCAGAGGGTTCAGGGTCACCTGCTTGGAGTCCCCAACCCATTCGCTGCTTGGGGCCTCTGGTGAGTCTCCTGACTCCTGGTGTCTGTAGGTGGTGTGGAGCCTGGGGCTCAGAGGGACACACGCGCTCACGTGTCACGCTCGGCGTAGGGAGTGTGTGCAGGAGGCTGTGTGACTTGAGTAGACCCGAGGTCATACTGAGTTGTCAGGTGACATGGTACCAGGGAGAAGTGTGTAGTGGATGGGGGCAGGAGTGGGGAGGAAGGTGGGCAGAAGAGGAAAGGGCTGCCCGAGCCCCAGGAGTGGGGAAGGCAGGGTGTTGCCAGTAACCACAGTGGAGGGGGGAGAGGAGGAAGGGGGGAGGAAAGCTGGGGTCCTGTGGCTTTTCCTCTCACCAAGGGACAACAGTGTACTTCAGTGCTGGCCAGTGGACACCCGTGATCAGAGTGGCCCTAGTGAGGGTGAGGACCAGGCTGAGGGTGAGGCAGTGGCCTGGGCTCTTCTCCTTGGAGCCACCCAGCTCTCCGGTGGTCCTGGCAGCTTGGTTTTCCAGGCTTTAAGGCCAAGGGTCATCCATGCACCTGAACTTCTGTCTTCTGGGAGGGAGCAGTCTGCCCACCGGTGGAGGCTGGAGGGAGGGATTTTGAGAGTGGCACCCCTTCAGGCCTTGGGGGAGTGGTCCTGGGGGGCCAGGGCCGGGGGATGGGTAGAGAGGAAGAAGAGTCTGAGGTTTCGCTTGTAACCAGGGAGCCCTTCTCTGCTATCAGCAAAGAAACGGTGCAGAAGGCACATGGAGGAAGTTTCAGCTGGGGCCCCGCCGCTGAAGGGCTCCTGAGAACTGAGTCTGGGAGGATGGCGGAGCCCATGTTCGGTCCTGCCGGCCCATTCTCAGGTCTCACGGTGTGGCATCGTGACAGTGGCTGCAGAACATCTGGGTTAGGGCCCGAGTTCAGCATGGGACAGCCTCTGCCTCCTTGAGACCTCATAGGAGCAAAGGCAATTTGAGGGTGGAAGATACTCTAAACCCCCTGGTTTACCTGGAGCGAACTGATACCAGGGCTGGTTGGAGGGTCACCCTGCATCTCCATCACGGTCACATTGACCATAATGGCTGTTGAATTATACAGCTTCCCTGCTAAACTGTGAGTTCAGGAGGATAGAGGTTGTGTCTGCCTGTGAGCTTAGCACAGTGCCTGGCACAAACGAGGCCCTCATTCAAGGAAGGGGGAGTGGAAGGAAGGGATGGCCAACATTGATATTCAATCTCCTGGTGGCAAGGGCAAGCTCACAGCCTCCTCAAGAATGACATGAAGCCAAAACCGGTTTGTCTTGGTGGATAGAGCGTCGGCCTGCGGACTGAAGGGTCCTGGGTTCGATTCCGGTCAAGGGCATGTACCTTGGTTGCAGGCACATCCCCAATGGGAGGTGTGCAGGAGGCAGCTGGTCGATGTTTCTCTCTCATCGATGTTTCTAGCTCTCTATCCCTCTCCCTTCCTCTCTGTAAAAAAAATCAATAAAAATATATTTTTTTAAAAAAAAGAATGACATGAAGCATCAAACCGCACTCATTTGGAATTTGCAACAGTACAGACATCATAACCTTGATCCCAATGAGTGAAAGTTGAAAGTAACTTCTCTATATTTAGGTCTTATTCCTGATGGAGAGGCACAGTAATGAGAATACTAGTACACCTTACATTTGGATGTCACTTCAGACCTTTCTAAATTCTTTTGTGTTAGTAATCTAATTTGATATTTACAATAACCTTAGGAGGCAGGAGAGAGATAAGGTCCTTCATTTGGTCAGCTACCTCCCAGCTGCCAGCAAAACAATGGAGGCGGCCTGGATCCTGCAGGAGGATCTAACTGTGATGAGGCCTGACGGACCCAGGAAATGCAGTCTGCTTAGAGATCGCTCCATCTCTTCTAGGGAAGGATGGGCCACCTGGTAGCACAGCTGGAGAAAAAACCCCTTAGAAAATACACCCAACAATGGAATAGAATTGAGTCCAGATATAGGCCTTACATTTAAGTTCAATGGGTTTTTGGCAAGGATGACAGACAACTAAACGGGGCAGTGGGAAAGGGAAGAAAGTCTTTTTACCAAAAGGTTCTGGGACAACTGGATTTCCACATGCAAAAAAATGAAGTTGGACGCCTACCTCATCCC